CCACCACCACCACCGCCACCACTACCACCATCAGTTCGCGCCTGGCGGTTAGTCGATGCATGGTTAGCGGTATCCGACATAGCAGGCTGGCACATCAGGTAACGCATGGCACATAGAAGATGGCAACGACATAGCTTGATTGCGACGTACATTTTGTTGTCCTGATTGTGCTGTAGCCTGAAAAAGGAAATATGACAATGCATGCACATGACACAGACAAGTTATTACTGTTACAAATAATGCATACTGCATACACATGTACATGCATGCGATTTTCGTCGTCCATTCATTTCGGAGGGTAGAGAGGGGTCCGAGTACGAAATGAATGATGTTTGTTTCACGGATGACTAAACACCTTTGCGATGACCCCTTATTGCATCAATTTATCGTCTGAACTGCGCAATTGAGTCCCACTTTTATTATGTTGGGTCCAGAATTCAAGACTCCTGAAGTTCGAGGCAAAAAGCAGGCCGATGAAGGGACGCCAGTAGTTCAGTCTAGTCCGGTGTCATGGAGAGGGACCGATGAACCGGCAACAAGAGAATTCAATACGCATGCTACTCTTCAGTTCATTGCTGGGGAAGACTACTCGAGGCCACGTCACTCCGGCAATTCAATGTACAAATCAGCAGCAACACTTGCAAACATATTCCTGCCAGCTGACCAGCAAGTTACCAGCCATCAGCTCTTCAATTATTTCAACGGAACAAAGAGAGGAGATAGACAGATCGGAAAGTATCGTGGCAAGCTCAGGACAACACACTTCCGGCCCTATGTAACAACAGTGGAAAGTGCGTGCCATGGTATATTTTCGAAGGCATCTCAAGAACCAGCTAATGTGGACTGGGAGTCCATTTGCATCGTCCGATCAGCTGCTACAAGTGCCGTGAGCCAATGGCAAACACGTTTGACAGAGACTACTACCTCTACTGAATGCAACTTCGGAATGCCAGAGATCTACAAGCACGTTCAGGCCACGACCGTACAAAGCGTCAATAACAGTCATTTGGATTTTACCAATCAGCGCACGGCAAACTCGGCCATTTCTTGCAGTTGTGGGGTGTTTTCTGAGCTGAACTTGGCTATACTCGTTGGTTTTAGACATTAGGCCATTGTGGATTCGTGTTCAGAAGGTGTGTCTTTGGAGGGTTACCATCTCGAATTTTTCGATTTGGCTTTCGTTTGGCTGAGATCGGATGGTGAATCACTCAAACTCGAAGGTGTGCGAACAAGTGAATGAAGACTAAATATAAAAATCGGAGACGGTAAACCGATAGAGAATTCCAAGACCTTGAAAATGAGCTATCGACGGTGAGATTCGGCCAAGTAGAATCGCTGATGTACTTTTTTGAAGACATCAAGGTCGGCCGCGCGTCCTCGCACCGAATAGTTTACTCAACGAGCCGTTGCCCATGGTTACTGATTGAGCGGAAATCTTGTGCCAATCGTTCGCAGCGGTATTGACTCGGGGGATAAAATATGGATGATGATGTTGTCCTTGGACGAGTGAATGGTAGTCATCAGGAGATCTAGATGCTTTTAAACTCTGCCACCCCTAGCGGTCATGTTCAAAGAGGTTGTTGTTGTGTTTATTTTAATTCGCAGGTGTTGGATTCAACGCCAGCTTGCCAAAGTCATCACTTACTGAACACCGCCACTACTGTCCCAGTGACGAATCCACATCCACTTTTTTGTTTGAGTGACAAATTGTCGGTCAAAAAGAGACTTGCCTGTCTACAGATCCATGACTATCAGGGAGACCATGTGCCAGCTGACTGAGGTCTACATGTAAAACTGGCACGCACTTTCATGGCGGCAACAAAAAGCACCACACACATACGCACATGCAGGTGAAACATTGCCATCTTTGCTAAAGTGTTACCAGCTGCATTGGTAGCCACAATATAATTTTAACAGATAAGGTCACAATCCTGTTTTTACTTCTACTACACCACTTCACTGCGCTGCTGTGGTGTGAACTGTGCAGGAAAAAATGACAACAGTGTTGCGAACACACAATTTAACATTGCTAACACCTCGATGCGGTGAGGCACATAATACCTGTACTGTAAATACAACGCATTATTCTTCTTTACACGAAGCTCAGGATTTTTGCAGAGAAGGGAGTTAAAACGTTCCTTTTAGAAGTATCAACGTCCCTGGATGTGTGACCTGACGTTGATGCATGCAATCTATACTTTCTTCTTTGCCCGAGATATACACCAGATCCATTTGTTCAAATGTGATGAACTCTCGATGAACCCTTGAGCCCCCACCCTTCGCAATACTGACATAATTCATTTTTCTCTTTAGTCCTGTATCTCTATTCTCTGGTTGTTTTGGTACACGGATGTGTTGTTTTATTTTCAAGACGGAGGAGAAGAATTTTTTTTCAACACAGAGTTTCACTCTCTAGTCGATGATGAGGTAACTATTGGTTTCATTATAGCGGTCTGAAGTTAAAACACAAAAATAGGGTCTAGCTTGGTACGAAATATAATAATTATTATGGTAACTTGGCGATAATCACTTTTTCCAATGATCAACAAAATTGTTACGTTACAATTAAATTAATTTCCAGGGTTCGAGTCTCACAAAGTAGCTTTTAAAAGACTTTTTCTTGTGAAGTTTGAATCCGTTGCCACGGTGAGTGTGCAGATGCCATTGTTCCGAGGTTCAATTGAATACACAATGGCCATTACTCTGAGCTTGAATGCAGGCTGTACACCGTAAAAACGTTATTTTAAAAGTTTATAACTTGGAAAACTGACTTTGTCCACACACCTGATGGTGTTCGTTAAGATTGAGAGTGTTAATTGATAAAATAGATCGTTAAGTAAAGACTAATCCGTAGGCGGCGTTGTGATAATATTTGCGATATAGCCATGATTTCTGGCTATATTATTCTCATGTCCATCAACCTCATCAGTGAGTATAGCGATGAATAAAAACTATCGAAAAGTGCACACTCATATCAAAAACATTGCCACCAAAGTCTCAGTCACGGTATTCCACTGATGATTGAAGCAAACAAACATTTTGGACACAAACATACTTTGATCGCGATGTTTGTGACACGAATGCACACATAATGTTATACATAACAATCCGTATTCATTTCACTTGAAGGGCACTGTCCCATATGCAATTAGAGCCTATGCACCACCGTCTTGACTGCGACAAGGGGAACATCTTTGTAGGGGAATCAGGTACAGGTTGTGGGGGAATCGGGGACGTAGGGAGTACAGGTCACCAAGCTTCCATCAACACTAAGGCAATCTGCAGTTTCTGATGATTTCATTGATAGCACTCTGGTGTCTTTCAAGACAGTCCAGTGCAGTAATGAGGCGAAATTTAGCAGCCGCTAATTATATAAATGAATGTGATATAATTATCGGATATGCGGCGAGTGGAAGGCATCCAATTGACATGGATAGCACAGCTTTAGTAGAAGCCATGGCATTCTGCTACAATAACCATAACAAACCAAGACGATGCATCAATAAGAAACAAGACTTTGGAAAGTAGTTAGTGAAATGAATGCGATTGAAAGTTAGTCGATAGGGTTAAACATCTGTTTCGACTTTGCAGAAGAGGTCAAGCCTGATTGAGTGCAAGGACATAATATTTTAGGACTAGACAGCGATTTCAAGGTCAATGTTATACGAATAGAAGATGCGATGCATGTGAGCAGACAGGAAACTTATGATTTCATGGTGGGTCTCTACTGTGTCTTAAGTGCTATTTTACCCAATATCATTCTCTCGCAATTCCATTGCGATTGCATTGCGAGAGTCGACAAAATCATTGTGAGGTAATTCAGAATCAGAGTAGGGCTGATCATCTGCGTTTGACCTTTGCTGGCTCTCCTGTGTGCCGACTTGTGCCCAGGAAACTGGCAGGATTTGTACTTTCTCCAGGTTCCGACTGGTGTGTTCAGACGCTGAATCTGGGTTGATAAACTGAATTCATGATCTATGCTAGATCATCATTTGCTGGATCAGGCACGGTTTCCTCAGCTGTTTCCTGGTCGTCTCCTGTCAGGCCAAGGCTACTGGAAGAACTGGTACCGCCTTGTGCCGAGGAACTGGCAGGATTTGTACTTTCACCAGGTTCCGACTTGTGTGTTCCGTCCAGGACTCTGGGTTGATAAAGTGGATTCACGTTCCATGCTGGATCATCATTTGCTGGATCAGGCACGGTTTCCTCAGCTGTTTCCTGGCCGTCTGCTGTCAGGCCAAGGCTACTGGAAGAACTTGTACTTTCACCCAGTTCTGACTGGGTGAATTTGTCTTGTGGATGAGGGGACTTGAATGCGCCATCCTCATCCTGATCAGGGACAGCTAGAAATGCTGATCTGTGTTGTTGATCCTCATTCTCACTGGCTGAACTGCGGTGGTCATCACTTTTAGGCTGTTCAGGTGCTTTCTGCTCATCTTCTTTCTGGTCAGGGAACGCTAGAGAATTCAACATCAATGATGATCCCTGTTGTTGATCCTCCGTTTCACTGGTTGAGTTGCGATGGTTATCACTTTTAAGTTGTTCAGGTGCTTTCTGCTCATCCTCTTTCTCAGCAAGGGCAGTTAGATCTGACATCCGTACTGATTTCTGCTGGCGGTCATCATCATGCGGCGGTTGACGCTTAATGCCGAGTTTTTTCATGGTAACTGGCGGAGCGGAAATCTTGTGACAGCCGTTGCCAGCGGTATTGACTCCGCGGATAAAATAGAGATGATGGTATTGTCCCTGGACACATGAATGGTTGTGATCAGCAGCTCTAGATGCATTTAAACTCTGCAATCCCTAAGGGTATGTTCAAAGAGGTGTTGGATTCAACACCAGCCTGCCAAAGTCACCATTTTGCTCAAAAACCGCCAATGCGGGCCCCAGTGTCGAATATGCACCCGTTCATTTTTTAGTGAAAAATTATCACTCAAAAATACACCAGCCTGTCTCCATAGATTCATGACTACGCAAGAAGACAATGTGCCTGCTAATTCATGTGTACGTGTGAAACTGGCGCGCACTTTCATGGAGGCACGAAAAAGCACTACACACATGCGCACATGCAGGTGAAACATTGCCATCTTCGCGGAAGTGTTGCCAGCTGCATTGGTAGCCACAATATACTTAACATGGATTAGGTGGCAATCCTGTTTCTACTCCTACTGCACCACTGCACAGTGCTGCTTATGTGAATGTCGTAGGCTCTATCGATGGATGGTCACTTTCTCACTTGTTGTAACGTACGCTTGCAATTGCTAAGAGGCACACGGTGGAATTTGCTCTAACAAGTTGAGCGATGGTCACGCGCATGTCATGAAAAGTGGAAAAAAAGAACACCACCGATCGCCTCAACGTGTTGCTGGTGCAGCTACGACTTCGCACTGCAATAGTTGTACACCTGCTGCTGTTGCTGCGCTTTCCATGCTAGAGAGGTAGCAGGTGGAATCCAGCCCAAAGTGCAAAAGATCGCGCCAAGAATCAATTCCCATCACCTCAGTGTACTTCTGCATGTGTATGATCTATGATCTGTAGCATTGGCACCACTACCTGCACATCAAGTAAAATAATAAAAATACAGGGTTCTGGCCAGGTCAATATAGTAGGGGGCGGGCATGGGAAAAAGGTACCCCATGACCCATTTTTCCATTGTCCAAAATTGTCTTACCATGCAAAATGCAACATACAGGGTTTATTGCAAATACAAAAAGCAAGGGTCATGCCAGTCTTGGGCACCAAATATGCCCCTTGGTTGGATTTCATCTAGCATGACTCTACATGTACATGTAGATTGTGATAATGGTTCGCTCGGCAATCTACGCTGAAATCTTAGAAAGACTTTCAAATACGCAAGACTGGTATTGGCACTAAGATAGTCCGTCCCATTTTGTTGAAAACTGTTGATGCTGATGAGGTTTACACAATGTCGAAATCCTTTTTTGCCCTAGATTTTCATACTATTATAACTTTTCATTTTAGTCACAGGATTTCTTTGGAAGCGGTTCTCACTTGTGATACCCTTTTCTGGGTTTATCCACTGATATCTGTTGTTTGGGAAATCAGAACTTGGCGTGGGTTAATAATTTCCATTTTTAACAATAATTGATGTATGTGGAACTTGGTCATCTTTAATTCTTTAGGTGTTTGTGCAACAAAGGTTTTAGTTTACCACCCATTGCACGCATTTCATTCATGTAATCATTGGTGCGTGGTTGATGATTTGTGTTTTCTCTCCTGCATGTACTTCCTTGCCGCTTGTCGCTGATCTATCCAACAGGGGATGGCAAGGTATGTGTATTGTATGCAGTTTGTTTGGCGGTGGTTATGTGCTATTGGATACATGCACTGGTTACATGACATTGTATGTATGCTCTGGTCAGCTGTGTTGATGGGCGTACCTACAACAGCAGACCTAGAGGGAAGAAATTCCCATTTGGATATGCGAAATAAAACAAAGTGAAAAAAGAAAAGCACTCTTTGGCACAACCAGTGGAGTAACAAAAGAAGAAGAAAAACAGCCAGGGAGATTGAAATATTTCACTCGTTGTTTTTCATCAGTATGCAAGCTGTGAATCAACAGACCTCCACTAGTGTCATGGCCTGGATTTAGATATGAGGCCACAGGCACTGGTGGTGATTGGATCAAATTGACATTCACAACTGCAGTATATTATCATGCCTGAATCTATTCAACTTTAGCTAATACATGTGCGAGGAATACGAGGTTGGGAACCACATTTTTCAACTTCTGCGTGTCCGCTTACTGCACATAGCTGAGCTTGCCTCAATGCCTGGTCATGTTGACCGAGGTTCGTGTAACTGGTCATGTTGCTATAAATAGTCCTGTGAACTTTCTATTACGGAGTTCTTGTTTCCCATTGGAGAGGTTGAGTGAGTTGTGGGAAGAGCACGGCACAAGTGCCCTCATTGGTTGTTTCATGTCCAGTCTAGCCTGCCGGACAGGAGAGTTGTTGTTGTTGTTGTTTATTTTACTTCGCAGATTCTAACGGGCAAGTAAGTTGCCCAATAACAAGAAAGCGAAGGCAAAGAAAATAATAATACTAATAAAAGAAATAACCGGGTGCAGCAGAAAATGAATAATAGCTTTAAGAACTCAGAGTCCAGGGTGCTTGGCCAGTGCATCTCCATTGATTTGCTTTCATAATAAGCCAGAAGTATTTAGATTCGGCAGCGTTGACGAGTCCATAAAGGATGAAACAGTTGTGTATACACTAATACAGATTGAGTTGCTGGAGGCATAATCATTGTCCCACACACTACACTGATAACAGCATTATCTTTCGGATGGCGCTTCCCTGGTATGTTTTAAAGTTCAAAGAATTCGCCTGACTGTTAGTTTGCGGGTTCGCTTTTCTCTGACTATGACGCGTTTCACCTCCTTTTCAATCTCCAGGAAGAATTGTCCACGGACGAAGTACTGGCCCGAAGAGCAGATGAGTTTGAACGTCTCTCCAAGCTCTGCCTAAGTGATAAGAGGTAGCGTAGCACAAGCCGCTACAAGCGTTGCATGCGTCATTGTTTCGGACTCGCACCCTATCTTTCTCTGTCTCGCAGGGAGTGTGTCTGGATATGGTGCTGTTTGTTGTTGCTGTTGCTGCTGCTGCTGCTGCCGCCGTTGTCCGTTCCACATGGGTCTATTCCTATCTAAATTGGTATCGATTGTTCTATGACTGGTGTTCTCTCGTCGTTGTTCTGACTCAAACTGCACCTCATTCTAAACATTAATAAGTGCATTGTATAATTTACCCCGACCCCCCCCCCCGCCCTGGTGCTATGTGATCTGTGTTGCTCTATGCAGGCCAAAGCTAGCACTGGATTATTGTGGAAAGGTGAGTCAGCACTCCGAGTGCATTGTCCCAGTCGGGGTCACCATGGTGACTACTGTATAAACTGTTTGGTAGGGCAGATACCGGTACAAGCTGTTGCCTCAACTACAATGTACTCCGATTCTGAGACACTTTGGTAGCCAGTACACTTTGATAGCCAAGAGTCTCCAGGCAGGAAAAGACAGTGCCCACCAGGTCCGTAACACCCAGTCTGGCCCGGATGGCCGGGCCTTATTCCAAAAAAGTTGACCATGCAAATTTGTGCACAACTTGTTTTTCGCCAATATTGTTCATTTCAGGTCAAATGTCCATTAAACCGGTGCACCTGAAATCCCGATACTACGGCACTGGTCATGTTTAACCGATACTTGTAATTCCCTTCCCAATTGGATGGGATAGTTTCCTGAACACATTCCTTTTGGTATCTTCACCAAAATTTGACCCTGGCTAAAATTGTCGACGTGGAATTCAACTGCAGAAAAACCAGCCCATCCCCAAAAATAGATGCGTAATTGCAAGGTAAATTTGTAAAAATTCCAGATACTGATGACCTAAACTCCGTCCACGTTCGCATAACTAACCGCCAAAGAAGTATACATTTGATGGGCGATGGCTGCCATGTTTGAAGGCTTTCTTTCTGTTTCTAGCTGTTTCTGGTACTGTATCACACTCACTGTACTCCTAGGACAGGTGCCTAGTTCAGGATAGAAACAAAAGGCAAACAGAGTTTTGTAACGGCTGTGTGTTTCGTTTGTCCTGCAGGCTTCCCAGCTCAGGCAGAAAGTCTTCGGCGAAGATCACCCGAAAACTGTCCAGTCTTTGGATATGTTTGCTGGCATTTATGCGGAAGTGGGCCGAAAGCAATATGCTGGTACGTTGTGGGCGACCCGGTAGGTTGTCATTGATCATCAGTTGTGAAGTATGTATAGGTGTGGAGCATTCACTGGTTCATGACGGCTTGCAGTAAAGCCCGCAGGTTGGCATTGACCGCCAGATGTGAACTGTACATAGTGTGCATGATGGCTCTTTGGTCATGCAAAGGGAGGTGTGATACCCCGTGGTAGTAGTAGTAATAGTAGTAGCTGTGTTACCGTGCACATTCAAGTGCCACTGCTTATCCAGTACTGAGCATCACGAGGTATAGGTGTTAGGTGATAGGTGTTAGGTGTTAGGTGTTAGGTGTTAGGTGTTAGGTGTTAGGTGTTAGGTGATAGGTGTTAGGTGTTAGGTGTTACTGTTAGGTGATCAGCTAGTACTTGGCGTTTATGCGTATCAGTAAGTTAGCCGGCGGTTGTTTTTGAACTTTGTGTGTCTGGCCGCTCATGCAGATGCTCTATTGACTGTAGAGCCAGCTGAAGAATCACCGTTGTCCACAATGGCAGCAGGCGGGTCATCTGGAGGCCAGCCCAGCAAGTGTCATTATGAAACAACAAGTTCTGGTGATGGCAATCTACCAGCTGGAGCAGAAATCCCAAGCGGTTCAGCGTCCACACCAGACCGAGTGCAGGCCATTCGTCTACGTGCCGGCGGCAGAGCACGAACGGCTATAGACGGGACTGAGTCACGCTTGAATGCTGGCTATGCTGAACAGACACCTGTTGAGAGTAGTGACACTGATGAGACCTCGGTCCGACGCCATTCACCATCAGGGGAGTCAGACCATGGTCGAGGTTCCAGTGGCTACAAGATACTCACGACTTCTGATGGTCGACGGCGCAGGCATGTGGCCGAAGAGCAGAGAACAGGAGCTGATGTGCAGAGTAGTTACGGTAAGGAACGTCTTCAGCTGTTTCTATGCATCTAGGTGTACGGGTGTGTGTTGATGGAGTACAGTTACTAGTATGTTTTTGGTTTCCACTGAACTTCATAAAATCTAAAAGCATGCATTCTCCATGAACTGAAGAAGTAGTACGTCTTGTAGTACATGATGGCCCTGGCACAGCACCCATTTCCTGTCATTGGAAGGACAAGAGCTGCTTGTACGCTATCAAGTTCTAGTGGTACAGTCAGACCTCGCTTATCCGGTCCTCGTTAATCCGGATCCCTCGCCATCCGGAAGAAAATCGTTGGTTACCGATTTACAGCATATGCCATGTATACATTTAGAAAAGCGATCCTGTCAGCTTTTCTATTATTGTGTTCACATGGCAGAAAAAACGACATCGCTATGCTACGTAAGTTTCTACGTAAGGTGCTCGGTCTTTCACTTAGGCTACGTAAATCTCTACGTAAGGTGCTCGGTATTAGATCTACCACCAACCCGTGGTAGCCGCGTGCTGTGCACGTGCACGGCAGACATTGTGTTCTGTGCAGTCTAGTCTGCGGATCCGTGTTCGGAAGTGCATGCGCGAGGAACTTCCTTCTTTGGAACTGCTTCTTGCATGAGCTGTTTCGGATATTTCGTCTCCTGGCCTGGCTTATTTCGTTTCGGCGCTGCTGAGACCTTTCGCGGAATATTACTCAATGACAGGTGAGTTGACCAGTTTCCTTTGATTCATTTGCTTGTGTTGCCTCTTTCATTTACGAAACGTGTGCTGATTTTGGGCGGAATGCAATAAATAATGGAAAAGCTGACAGGATCTCTTTTCTCAATTATTATTTAGCTTTTCCGCTGCCGAGGCCTCCTTTTACGGAATGCTCGATGAAAGGTGGTAGTAGTAGTAGTAGTAGTAGTAGTAGAATTTATTATTTTGATTGGGAAGGCCCTACAGACGTTGCCGTCTTGTTACAGGGAACCCTAAGTGCCCTTTACAGAGCGAAACGAAAACGGATAGATGCTCAACATGACGACACGAGACAGGCAGAGAATTCCACCTATCAGCGCCAAGGAAAGGTGATCTCTGAGTTGACCGGTTTCCTTCGATTCATTTGCTTATGCTCGCCCTTTCATTTACGGAAACGTGTGCTGCTTTTATTCGGATTTAGATCCATTTTATCTCTTTGTCCTTGTCTACAGTGTGCGAAGAACGCGAGTTCACCTTCTTGACGGTAAGGCCTATGTTAGATGTGTTGTCGAAATACTCATGTTCATTGCACATTGGTACGTTACAAGTAAGGCACTGGTCAGTGGCATACTATCGTTGGCAGTTCCCAATCTGGAGGGAAAGGTTCAAGGACTCATTGACCGAGTTTGCCAAATAAATTCGCATATCAGGGAAAATCTCCATTGTGGAGAGGTTCAGTAACTTGTTTGCTTCATACGAAACAAGCCAATGGGTGCAGTCTCGTCTCGTGAAAATCTCGTACTTGTATGATTGGATTTGTTTACTCTGGTCTGGGCTGTTTGTGAGTACCGGCGAGATTGCACTGCCCCAAATAAAGTTTCGTGCCGCCAAAGCAAGAATTACGATCTGCAATCTGTTTGTAGTACCTGTTGTACCTGCAAGTATGTGCAGTTCATGTATCGTACTTTCTCTGTTGCTGTTTCAGTTGCCGTCATGTTGCTAAAGAAATGTTCAGTAGAGAGGTTCTGCAAAACGAAAATTCGAACCGAGTTTCGCGACAGTCCTTGCGAAAGTGTGTACAAATTTTTGCACGAACTTTGCGTTCTGCACATTTTCGTAGTTTGCGCGGGCCAAGTGCACGTACGCCATGACCCGATCTCACGAAATTTCCTACGACAGTTCACTTCGCGTTCCCTGCAAGTTTCGCGTCCAAAGTTGCGAAAGTTCGTGCGAAATTTCGCACTTCATGATGTAGAGCGAAAGTTTGTACGCATTTTCGTTTTGCAGAACCTCTCTAGTGACTCATTTGTTTCATAAAAGACGAGTCAATGAGTCGGTGTGGCTTAGAATTATGAATATTTCGCTGTAGAAGAAATCTATTCGTACATGTATGTGTATTGGAGAAATAATTGTATTCACTGGTTATAAAATAGGTTAAGACAAACTCACAGAATAAATACCATCCCCTTGGTGTTCGTCCTGAAGAGGTTCGTCTGGATATCATTCATACTCACCAAAAGATGTGTAAGATTTTATTATCATGGAGTGCCTTGTTTATCTCTCAGTACCTCCAACCATAGCCTTGCCCCTTTTAACCTCAGGATCAGTGTAGTTGTTTGTACGAGGTGTCGGACCCAGCAATGTATTTGTTTACATTTTAATGTAGAAAGGAAAAGGACATTATTATGGATACGAGTTGAGAGTAACTCTCCATCACTGTAACTTTCTACATTTATTTATGGCTCAACACCCGAGTTTCAAATTACATTTTAATACATGTTTATTGTTCCTCCTTTGCTGTGTTGTTTTAGAAAATCGTGGACTAGCAGTTTGAAGTCATTGAACTATTTCCAAAAGTTGTATCGACATCAACAGGATTACGATTTCAGTGCAATATGATGCCGGATGACCTTATCACAATAGCCCATGATTATAAACCATTATATACACAGAATCAACAAAAACATCTGCGACACGCACCTGGCGTATGGCTACATTTCTCAAATAAATCTGATCAAGGGTGGGCAAATCTGAAATATCTGAAAGGCAAGACAATTTTATAACAGAGTCATGAAATTCTGCAACAGCAACATGCACAGAATGACCTCCGTATAAAAAAAAGTATCACCACCACTACTCACAGGTTTCCCCGCAGAAGAACATGTATTATCATTTATGCTAGTGTCATTTCCTGCAAGAAAAGGCTTGCACATCAATGCGTATAATACGGTATTGATCAGGGAGCCCTACACATATGTGTAGGGCTCCCTGATATTGATATGATGTGAAGGCCATCATTTACATATTGATACAGAGCATTCCATTGATTGGTGACAGAAAAAACAAAAGAAATTATAGCAATAAAAACTGCTTTATGGCAGTTTTCTAAAAAAAGTTATTGTGTTCTAGTCCATGGACCCCGTCTAAAAAGTAAGAAATTAACGAAATGTGATAGCTGAAAATTAAAATTTCACACAAAACCTCACAATAATCACACACTGAATGAAAGGCTACATGAAGAAGACCTTTTCCCCTCGTGATCCTCTTTCCTATGCATGCATGTTGCCAATTGTTGGTGTAGTACAAGTTTAGTGTTGAAAGCAGCATTTCAAGTGTTGTGATTATTGTGAGGTTTTGTGTGAAATTTTAATTTTCAGCTATCACATTTCGTTAATTTCTTACTTTTTAGACGGGGTCCATGGACTAGAACACAATAACTTTTTTTAGAAAACTGCCATAAAGCAGTTTTTATTGCTATAATACGGTATGCGTGTCCAATTATCCGGTTCCCTTGTCTATCTGGATATTTTTCTGGAAAACGGATGTGTACGATTATGCGAGGTCTGACTGTACTGTATTTTCTGTGTCAGAGTTGCACTCCCTCTATACCCAATGAGGAGCTTAGATGGAACAATATCAGTCATGTGTGTGTTAGTCGGGGATCCAGGACAAAAAAAGTGTCTAAATCTGAAAGTGGTCTGCCACTAGAATCCGAGTAAAATCGAACTGTACAGGTGGAGAGAGTACCTGTTGTGGAGTCGAATGGTAGTTGTTGGCCCGTCTAGATCGGGGAAGGAGCTCCGCGAGAGGCAATTTTAGTTCAGCTTCGTCGGTCACTTGAACTGCTCACCTTTCGTCTCGGGCCGATTCTGAGTTGCGTAGAGTACGCACATGACAACCAAATGCAGTCAAATTTGAAAACTCAAAGCGAGTGTCTGATCTGGTCGGCGAGCGACTTCACTTTGTTGTTGATCATAATAATAATATTCTTGGTCAAGAAGTTTACTCTCGCTCTTGTAGAAGTAAAGCACAGGGACTTCGTAAGCCTAGCCTAGATATCGTTTGGTCCTTCCACTACCAACTCGCAATGGCAGCCAACAAACTACCCGTCGTGTCGTGTAGTTTGACGCCGCTTCGCGAGTGATCTCAAATGTTTTCTTGATTGGAATTTCGTTGATACGATCGATACGAGGGACACCTTACCTATCATTCTGCAAAGGTAAGCTTGGACCCTTTCCCTGCTTCTCTCTCAGGCACACACACCTTCAATAGCACTCGATTAAATTAGAGTTAGAGAAGACTAGAAATGATATAAACGCATTGTAGTCACTACTCAATCGAAAATGAAATAAATAAATACTACAACTGTAGTAAGGAAGACATGTCCAGTGCTGTGCAATTCATGGACAATATGCCCAGTTTAATATGTAAATTGGAATAAAATGTAGGATGATAGCGTCATCACTTTAGAAGCCAAGCTATGTACAAGCAGTTTATATACAATGTGTGAACAGGTTAGGTGTGTTGACAGCCATAGCCATAATTCACAAACACAATGGGTGGCTTGGACCAGGGGAGGACGGTGCAGTTGCCAGTGTCTACAGCGAGTCGTCAAACTCCTGATCTGGATCCTCATCAGAATCTGAGCTGGAGTCAGACTCTTCAAAGTCGTCAGCACCAGTACTTTCCTCGCTCTCACTGTTTTGGTCGCCTTCACATGCAGTTGTTCCCACATCTGCGGCACCGGAGCTGTCGTTCTGTTCGAGTACGGCCCCAAACGGATTGGCGCATGAGCAGCACGAGCAGATGTCTGTGCAAGCCAAGGACGCCTTCTTGCACGAACAGTGCTGACTTACGCAGTGCCTTGTCTTGCACCCACAGCTCACCAGTTTTAGTATGTCAGCAGGAGCGACGCGCTGCAGCATCCAGGAGATGGAAAGCGTGCCGTCAGTCTCCGACTGCCAGCCATGGCCCACTGGACTCGGTACTTCTGGCATCGCAGTGGTGGCGCTCCGCCAAATGTGGGCCTGGTAGTTAGCCCTGGC